TACTGAGACCCCTCTCTCAATAGTAAGTTCTAGTATGCATGTCTCCATGGAGACAGTATCCTGCAGGCAACTGTACATTTGTTTCAAATGTGCCACAGACTGTTTCTAATACAAACACATACACAAATTTCACATATGTTGCCTTGTGGGGATCTTAGCTAAGGCATGATCTTTGGTGCCATTACTTTATCTGTAAAAAAGAGGGAGTTAGACTAGGTCATATGGAAGCTTACCTCAAGCATGAGCAGAGATCCTGAAAGTTCTGGCCAATTTCTATCTCATGTCGTAAGTTGTATACAGTGTGTCCTAGTTAAAACTGAGACTACAGTATGCTTGATTCTTTTGCATATTTAAGGCAAACAGATTGAGAGAAAAGACAGAAGGAAAGGAGTACTAACTGAGCACCTGTGGAGCACCAGGTCTATTTTCACATATGCCTGTGCCTCATGGTACTATTGCAAGGTAGGTACTATTTCCCTCATTGCAGAGTAGTTAACAGCCAGGATTTTATTTCATAATTACTTATAATTGACAAAATTCAGTGACAGTCTGGATAATAATTCAGTTGTGAAACCTGTATAAACTTCATGCTTTTTATTTTTTTTAATTGAAATGTAGTTGATTTACAATATTATATTACTTTGTTTTATTTTTTAGTTACTGTATATAAGTGATAACACACAGTGTATTTGTCTTACTTCACTAAGCATAATGCTCTTTAGGTCCATCCATATTGTTGCAAATGGTAGAACATTCTTTTTTATGGATGAATAATATTCCATTGTGTGTATGTGTGTGTGTACACACACACCACATATTTATCATTCATCTGCTTATGGACACAGGCTGTCTCCATGTATTAGCATTTATCTTTTCAAAATAGTGTTTTTATTTTCTTCAGCTATATACCCATAAGTAGAATTCCTGGATTATATGGTAGTTCTATTTTTAATTTTTTGAGGAACCTCCATACTGTTTTCCACAGTGACTCCACCAGTTCACATTTTTACCAACAGTGTAGGAGGGTTTTGTTTTCTTCATGTTCTCTCCAACATTCATTATTTGTAGACTTTTTGATACTAGCCATTCTGACAGGTGTAAGGTGATATTTCATTGTGGTTTTGATTTACATTTCTCTAATTAGAGATGTTGAACATCTTTTCTTGTGCCTAACAGCCATTTGTAGGTCTTTGGAAAAATGTCTATTCAGGTCTTTTGCTCATATTGTAATCAGATTTTTTTTGTCAGTACCATGCTGTTTTGGTGACTTTAGCTTTGTAGTAGTCTGAAATCAGGGAGCATGATGCCTCCAACTTTGTTCTTTATTGTTTCACTTTTCACTTCTGTAGAAAATGTCATGAGTATTTGGTAGGGATGGCATTAAATCTGTAGATTGCTTTGGATGGTATGGACATTTAAATAATATTCTTCCAATCCAAAAACACTGGGTATCTTTCCATTTCTTTGTATAATTTTCAAATTGCTTCATCAGTGTTTTATAGCCTCCAGAGTATAGGTTTTTCACCTCAGTTAAGCTTATTCCCTGGTATTTTATTCTTTTTTATTGTAATTGGGACTGTATCCTTAATTATTAGTCTCTTTAATAAGTGGCGCTAGAAAAACCGGACAGTTACATGTAAAAGAATAAGATTCGAACATTTCCTCACACCATATACAAAAATAAACTCAGAATGGATTTAAAACCTGAAACTGTAAAACTCCTAGAAAAGAATATAGGCAGAACATTGACATAAATCAAAGCTGTATTTTTTGAATCTGTCTCTGGTGGCAAAAGAAATAAAGGCAAAAACAAATGGGACCTAATTAAACTCAAAAGCTTTTACACAGCAAAGGAAACCATCCCCCAAATTAAAAGACAACGTAATGAATGGGGTACAACATTTCTAAATGATATGACCAATAAGAGATTAATATCCAATATTTATGAACAGCTCATGTAACTGAATATAAAAAAAATCTGATTCTACTGCTGGGTATATATCTGAAGAAAATTAAAACATTATTTTGTGTTATTGATTGATCTTAGGTTTTATTCCGTAGTCTTAAACTCCTCTATGAAGAAGTTAGATTTTCCTTGAAATTTAGTTTCAAGAAGAGGTACCTGGGTTATCCTTAGTTGAAAGACACTGAGATTTTGTTATGTACATACAGAATTTATACTTCGAGTACTTAATTGGGAATTAAAGGAGATCTTGCCCTAAAAGTGGCCGAATTGGGGTTTCCTGACAGTCCAAAATTAATTTTTAGTGTGTGCACAGGTAGAAAAAAGTTGGCTTGATAAAACATCTTTTCAGATTTCTGACATTAAAGAAACAAAAGGTCTTCTGGGGGAATGCATTTCTCTCCTTGTGTTTTTGAGATGTCATTAGGCAATTTCTTCCCCTCTGTGTTTCGGAATCTTGGTTTCTGCTACTTGGAAAGGTACAGACTTGGTGTACATTTGGCAGCCAGTCTAATAGACTAGGATTCTGGGTAGTCTTTTTGTCTGGCTGTGCCAGCTCTCAGGGAAATTTGTCTTAAGGAGTCCTGGGCCATAAGGGGCCTTTGTCATCTTAATGTTCTTTGCATCTGCCTATACAACCATGGCCCTTTACATTCTTAGACTATTTGGGGGGCACTACATAATTTGCACTTTCTTGTATGGATGCTTCTTGGGCTTACTGCTTTGAGATGCTTTTGAGATACTGCTTGTCAATGGCCAGATGGACACTTTCTTTAAAATGAAGAAACTTTTAAGTTGGTAAATGTTTTAAAAGCATTCATTATAAACTGCTGTTTTACTGGTACCTATGGAAAAAAAGCAAATTAGAAGGTGGATAAAATATATATAAAATAGCTAAACTAGAAACTTCCTTAGTTTAAAACAAACCAACAAAAAGTTTGTGAATTCTAGGCTTCCCCTTAATAATTCTTACAGATTCTAATAAAACATTGCATTGTTAATTAGGTTGATTAACAGGAAAATAAGAAGCTGAGGGAAAATCTAGATGTCTTCCCAACAAGGTAGAAATTTTAAAGGATTTGTCCCCAAAAGATAAAGAAATCTTTAGATGGGTTTTAAGGAAACGGATAGATAAAACAGATGTTAATAGGATTAAAACAGAAGTTTGATACAACACTACCTAGTGTTGGGGACCAAGTGGGGGTCCCCTTGGCCCATTTTGCCTTGAAGGCCCCCAAACGAGCATGAAGTATTCACCCCTGTTTAAAAAATACATATATATTTAAAAGGCTGGAAAAAATTACGCTGAGATACCTGAACAACAATTTCTTGAGGCAATAGTTAAGTCCTTTTGTTAATCTTTTAATTGATTAATTGGCCTGACTTCCGTGGCTCCCCTCCTCACTGGAGCTCCCAAAGCCTTTATGCAAAAATGGGTAAAATGGCTGCAGGACAAAAAGGACAGCTTCTGGGACTCCTTGTAAAACCAAGGTTTGTTGATGGGGTCCTAATGGAAACTAAGGTTAAAAGTATAAAAGTTGTTAGAACTCATCTGAGAGATTATAAATATTGGTATATTTAAATAGGCTTTATATAGATGCTTCTATCTCATTTGCCATATGTGTATATATATATATTTTTAATTCAAGTATAGTCAGTTTACAATGTATCAATTTCTGGTGTATAGCATAATGTTTCAGTCATACATATATATATGTTTTTATATTCTTCATATTCTTTTTCATTATCGGTTACTACAAGATACTAAATATAATTCTCTGTGCTATACAATAGGACCTTGTTATTTGTCCATTTCATATATAGTAGTATCTGCTAATTCCGAGCTACCAGTTTATCCCTCCACCCCCACCCATTTCCCCTCTGGTAACCATAAGTTTGTTTTCTATGTGAGTCTGTGTTTTGTAAATAGGTTCATTTGTGTCTTTTTTTTCTTTTTAGATTCCACATATAAGCAATATCACATGGTATTTTTCTTTCTCTTTCTAACTTCACTTAGAATGACGACAATCTCCAGGTCCATCCATGTTGCTGCAAATGGCATTATTTTATTATTTTTATGGCTGAGTACTATTCCTTTGTATAAATATACCACAACTTCTTTATCCAGTCATCTGTTGATGAACATTTAGGTTGTTTTCATGCCTTGGCTATTGAAAATAGTGCTATAAACATTGATGCCAGAAAGAATTTCAGGTTCATGTGGAAATACTGAATTAATATCTGGTATTAAAGATACCTTAAGCTTATTGGTTTAATCAATAGGCATGTCATTTTTATTGTAACTAGGCTGACTGAAGGTCAGTAAATTGATGTTGCGGAAGTTATCAGCAAGAAAAATTAAGCTGGTATGCGTTCATAAGTTACAAAATAAACATTAATGAACTAAGAGTTTTCAAGTGAACTGTTAAGAAATAATGTTTTGGGTATGTCTTTCTAAAATAGTTTCTCCAGATATTTGGTAACTTTTTAGAGTTTTGTTGGATTAAATGATGTAATTCACTGAATATCTAGATTATTCCAGTTAAAATCCTGGAACATTAATTGCTAAACATGTTTAAGTAAGTTTGCCCACTTTTGTCTTTTTATAAGAGGAGAACTAAAGATGTTTGGCTATACTAGACACACTTGTATCATACTGAGCAAAAACTTAATTTGAGAAGTTATAGAACATGCTCATAAGTTAGCCAATCAAGAAATACTGGTATATTCATAATTGCTTGCTTCTTAGTTTTCACTAGAAACCAAAGTTTTTAAGAGTTGAGAATTCTAGTTAAAATATGTAATTACAGCTATTAGAAATGATAAGGGAAACATTCTAGTATGCAAGGTGAGTAGGATGTGTGTTTTCAGCAACAAAAGGCATGAGGAATAAAAATGCATTTGCTAAGGGAACAGTAAGGACACTGGAGCCCTGGGGAGGCAGGACACAAGCTATGAAGGACAATGAATATGGTAGAGCTGAGATGATAAATCACTTAATATATGTAATTTTTTAATCCAAACAGTCCACACAAAATTTATATTTAAATACTTTTATTTTCATTTCACAAAAAAAGCAACAGTGTTTGCAGGTACACATGCCTTTCAGTCAGTGCTGGTCATATGCAAAACAAGTTACCAGAAGTATAAAGAAAAATAAGCCTTTTCCCTTTACAAGTGACAAAACACAATTTGTATATATAATATTATGTACACATACTATTTTCAAAATCTTCCACAAAAGACAAGATTATGATACAAATTTAGAATTCTACCCACAAACTCGGATTTGGAGGAACTGGAGATCTCTATAAGTGTTTAAATACAAAAATGTGATACCTTTACAAGTTTTGAAGTAGTTACTTTTTAAAGTGTTTGATAGACTATCCACAGCTACATGGAACACTTGGCTTTAATCAAGATAGCTGAAAAATTAAGTTTTGTCTCAATGTGAGTTTGTTGATTAATGCAAATGCTCCAAATTATGCTGAAATTCTCATTTTATACACACGAGTGTATTACTGTGCTGATGCTTTTATACAGTTCAACTTCTGGAGCATTTCATTCAGCTAAGCCATGAACCTTACTTCCTTTGAAGTATCTCAAATTAAGAACCACTCAGAAATACCATAAGGCTACCATGACTAATGCCAAAAACGTGCCCCTTTCTCTTTTACTTATGATCAAAGTTAAATGTATCACGAACAAACTTTTTTGTTTTTTCTACATCAGCAGGTATAAGTAACAGCAAAGTATAAGCTAAATTTTTCAACACTAGGACCTGAGAGTTTGATATGGTAACATCTCTGCAAATTTTCTAGGCATACTATTACTCAATGTTTCTAAAATAATATGGCAAATCTTCAACATTATATTCATTATAAATTGCAGAGCAAACAGTGCTCAGAAGCTTGGAGGGAGGGATGGATGGATGTTACACATGCATTTTCTTTGAGACAGACAAATGTGGATTCATAACATTGACCATGTGGTGGATGAAGTCCATGTGAAATATTCAAGAATGCTGAAAGTGAATACACAGGTTTGGATGTATGAAATGCATGCAAAAACATACAGCTAATGAGGCAAAACAGGTTTACATCTTCGAGTGCACTCGTAGGTAACATTTAACAGTGGAGGCACTGAAGACAAAAAAGGAAAAATGAACAGGAATGGTTCAGCTAATGGAGAAATGAGGAGAGAGGGACACAGCCACGCAGAAGAGCTCTGGGTAGGAAAGGGCCACTCGCCCTACCACTTGTAAGGTGCTGGAAGGCAGGGCTTGCCACCCAAATTCCTTTTGGATTGGTTTTGGGACTCATGTTGTCATTCACTAGAACCATGACACTAACTCCAAAGGTTCATTCCAAAAACCAAAATAATTTCTGCTGAGTACACAAGAATATGCTACCGATGGAACTACAGCAGACTCCTGCAGGTGAGTCAGAATTTCAGGTCTTGAAAAGAAGCTACTCTCAAGGGTCTTCATATGAGTTCTAGGCAGCATGTCGACTGGTTTACCAGTTACTGAAAGATTGACGATAAAATTTAAACATACTTTTACTTAGTACTGTCTTCTTGACTTTCTATAATTTCCAAAGTACAGGTCCCTTGCCATTTCATTCAGTTTGAATCAACCTAAGAAATGCTGGATCTGACTAGCTTTCACAGCCCAAGCATGTCCCAGTGTCTTCTCCCATCCTATCTGCTACATGCCTGTTGCCTTTAGTCACACCACCACAATGTTACACCTTCAGGTCAGATGGCAGGGATTTGGTGGGACGCTCTTTAAGATACAATCACAACCCTGTAAGGGAACTAATTATTTATTAAAGAAAAATAAGGGGGGGAAAATGAAGCAAGTTATATATGTGCATGTATATATTTACATCTTTAAAGGAATATATCCCAGAAAATATAACCACAAAGCAATATACTAGCTCCAGTTGAAGGAGTAAATATGTGGGAAAGGAAGAAGTAATCTGTCCATTCTTGAAACTCAATTTTCATTAGGTCCCTACACAGCCACGCAAAGAACTAAGTACAAAATAACAAAGAGGTAAAAACATTCATATGTATTAAGAATATTCCCCTGCCAAACTATAAATCTATCTAAAACAAGGAAGTAAAGAATGCACAATCCTTCTACTTGCTGTCACCCACACAGGCAATAAGAGTAAGGGGAGAGGGGGGTTGTCCTACAATAAATACAATTTCCATTTGGTACCTTGACACCCACCGAAAAGGCTAGGTACAAAATCAGTAACATGAAAACATTTACCTACATTTTAAAAACGTTCATATCCTGTCCTTTCCTACTAACCACTACCCATCCAAATAGTCCCTCCCTCTTAAAAAAAATCCCAAATTATTAAACTATTGCCCATGCAGGCAGTGAGGGAAGGGAGCAGAGGAGATTTATCATACATCTGGACCTCCAAGTTTCATTATGCACCTACAAGCCCCAGCAAGGGACGCTGTACTAAATGAAAGAACACACAAAATGTAGCATTTATATACATTTTAAAAAGTATATTTGTATGTGTATATATATTTATGTGTACACACACACACACACACACATACACACACACCCCTAGTCCCTCCCCCACCCGCATCCCTACCCTTCCAAGATAAAAGAAAGAAGCCAAACATCTATTCTACCGTTGCCCACCAGGCAATGAGGGAAGGGAAATAGGGGAGCTGTTTCATAGAATCAATCTCAGCTTTCATTAAGTTCCCAGTCATGCAAAGGACTAGATTCAAAATAAAATGAACACCAAAAGAGCCAAAAACATTTATATACATTTAAAAAATTACCTATCTTGCCTAACAAGCTCATTCTCCATTAAAATCTCAAAAACGAACAGAAAACCAAATCCTAAAGTACTCTTATACTATTGTCCATGTACACAGGCTACAGGCGAAGGGGAAAAAGGTTTATTACATCTCTGCATCTGGGCCTCTGCATTACAATTGATATCTGTAAGTCCAAACAGAACACTGGGTTTGAAGTGAAAGAACGAAAAATGTAGCAAACATTTATATACATTAAAAAACAGTGCAAACCCAGAAATCCACCACCACCTGGCCAAAAAAAAAAAAAAAAAGACTTCAAACAACTATGCTACAAGTCATTGCCCAGACGGGCAATACGGGAAGGGGAGGAGATTTCTTTCATAGAATGAACCTTAACTTTCATCATGTACCTAAGTATCCGTGGAAAGGTCCAGGTACACAATGAAGTAACAGAAAAAGGAGGAAAAAATATTCATATACACTTACAGTACATATCCCCACCCTGGTAGAGATAGAAAAATCACCTAGACTACTCCAAAACTACTGCCCACAAAGGCAGCAAGGGAAGGGGAAGAGAGGAGATTTTCATACATCCGGACCTCCATGTCTCATTAGGTACCTGTGTGTCCAGCCAAGGGACGGGTAACACAGTAGAGTAACAACCACTGCACATACAGTTTTCAGAAGGATATATCCTGCCCTTAGTCCCTCCCTGCCCCCACAAAACTTCAAAAAGCCCAAATTATTTTAGAATTATTGTCTACATAGAGAAAAAGAGAAAGGGAGATGAGGAGATCTGCTACACATCTAGAACTTCATGGTTCAGTAGGAACCTACGTGTCCAAGTGAAGGACTGGGAACCCACTGAAATACTATAATAAGGAAGTAAAAACATGAATATATATTTTAAAAGTATTTATCCCAATACCCACAAAACAACCCCTGAAATGAATCAGCTACTGACTAGCCACTGCCCATCCTGGCAACAACGGAAGGGGACAAAAGGAGACTGTTACACATCCAGACCTACGTGTCTCATTAGGTACCTTCTGGTCTGCGCACCCAATGAAATAACTTGAAATAGTAATAAAAACAGGAATATACAGTAAACACATGACCCTACCTTCCCCTCTCCCACCCACCCTCCCAACTCCACCCAACGACTACTCTGCTAGCCACTGCCCAAACAGACAACAAGGGAAGGGGACAAGAGGGGACTGTCATAAGTGTGGGCCTCCACCTCTCATTAGGTACTTTCTTGTCCTATGAGGAGGAAGCAGTACAAAATGAACTGGTTATAATACAAAGTAGATTATTTATATACATTAAGTACACACCCCACTCTCTCCCACCCCACAAAACAAAACTATTCTATTAGCTATTGCCCAAAGAGGCAATAAGGAAAAGGGAAAAGAGGAGATTTGTCATACTCTGAACCTCAGTTTTCATTAAGTATATATGCTTTCATGCAAAGGGACACATATAAAATGAAACAGTAAAAAGTAGTATAACATTTAAGTATACTCAAAAGCTTACAACCCCCACCTTCAGGCTAGATTCGGTCAAAACAACAGCAACTACAGCCACTCTGTTATTTCCACACAGGCAAGGAGGAGAAGGCTACATGCGACATCTGTCATACTTTTTGGACCTCCACGGTTCATTAGCTATCTATTTACCCATGAGAATGATGAGTGAAATACAAAAATCAAACCACACCCACAAAATAGCAGCAATCACATTTGTACACAGTCTTAGAAAAAACACATTCTGTTCCTCTCCCCGTATCACCATCTCCTTCCAAAAAAGGAAATCAAATAACTACTCTGTGGCTGTTGCCCAGAAACAAAGTAGGAAGGACAGAAGAGATTTTCATAGGACAATACTTCACTTTTCATTAGGACAAAATATATTAAAATGAAAGAATATAAAAATACACCAAAACACATATGTACATTTTTAAAGTATATACCTCCAAAGAGCCACTCAAAGAAATCAGTCAACTGTTCTGTTAGCTATTGGCTATACAGGCAATAAAGGAAAGGGAGAAGAGGAGGTTTGTCATACGTTTGGACTTCCATTTTTCATTTGGTACTTACTTGCCAATGTGCAGAATGAAGCACAAAATAAAAGAAAGCAAAATCCAGCAAAAAAAAATATATATATATTCTTTAAAGTACATATGAGGGTGTGGGGGACAGAAGGAGGAAGGAAACTCTTAGAGATAATTCCAATAAAAAAATAACAAAAGCAAAGGGGAGAAGAATCACATCATACCTACAAAATTCAGGTCTTGTTTTGCAAACTCAGCCCAGGAACTGCTGTCCTTGGTGATGCAGTACCTTCTGAGATGCATACCCTCCCCCGCAGCCCCATGAACTACATGGGGACTGAGTGAACGTCTAGCAGTCTGGCTGTAGATCAAGGTTTTAGGAGCTTTAGTTTGAGTAGACTCTTAAAATCCACCCCCAAAACAGGCTATCCACAATCCAACAAACTCAACACTTAACTTTCATTCCTTACTTCCCAATGTTCAGAAAGGAGTCTGTTCTGTACCCACTAAGACTGAGGCAGCTCAAATAACAACTATACACCCAGAACTCTTCTTATAGCAACTTGTTCCTACAGTGGCTAGAGCACAATAAAATGAAAACATGAATGGCAAAGAACATTAGAGCCGAGCAGAACTTGTGATAGTAAGTTCATAAACGCCAAAACAACAGCAGACAACACAATTTCACTTAAAGAAATTTCTATACAACAAGGGGCAGGAAGGCATGAGCTCACGGTGGAGGCTGACACTACTTACAGTTTAGTATGTCTGAGCACTTGGTATTAACAGAACAAACCCGACTCCTTAGATTTCTACTTCCATAGCCTTTCAGATCTACAAAGCACAAGTCTATCTTCTACAATTTTAGATTTCCAACTCTTTCTTTCCTAATAATCTAGTATGATGTGTCTTTTCATTCATTCAAGTAAACTGTCTCTCTGCAATGAGTATAACCCTTGTCAAACAAGTCCTTAATTGTGTCATGGACCTATGTGCTTGTATACAAAAGCATCCTGCAACTGCTCTGCTTCAGCCTGAATGCGTTCTCAGAAACACAGCGGCTCAATCAAATCTGGGAGGAAACGACCTTCAGAAGCTGCGGTTGTACTTACGACACCACATGTTGCAGCTATTATTTAGGTGCCTCGTGCCCCTTGTACCTTATATCCCTGACTTACAGTTAGTTTGGGGAACCCCTTTATAGATGGGACAGCACATTAAAAATGACAGAATTCCATGGGAAGATCTGAGGTGAGGCCTGTAAATAAAACCGCAAGCGGTATGGATCTGGTGTCATGGGAATGAACAGGTTTTGAGTACAAGGACAGACATGGATTATGAGTTATCTCTTTTTCAGCCCATGTTTTGATAAGCTTTTAATTATATCACTCCCCCCAACAACACACACACATTCATAGGAAAAAAATGATACAATTCAAGACAAGATTTGCCATATACAGCGTTAACATACCTTTCAGGAGCGATGTAAAGATGGGCAGGTAAAACTGAAGCATCTTAACTGATTTGGAGAAGTAGCAAAATTTAAACTCTGTATCAAAGTGGACTTCAGTAATATAACATGATAAAAAAAATCAGCAACAAAAAAACCCCCCTCAAAACCCCTTTAGTATTTTTCCCCACTCTAAAAATATAAAAACACACTGACTTTCAAATATCCACTGAATTATTCATCTGCTGAAGCACAAGAGGAATAAAGACCTACACTCATCCCAGTTTCAAGAGAACACTTTCAGATGATTCTGCGATTCTCAGATAATATTTTCTACTCTAAAACAGACAAATGTTATTTAGAAAGCACTAAATTGGGGGGAAACACACTAGGATTAAAGAAAGCTATCTTTTAGCTTCTATTGCCAGTCTTTTAAATTTTGTTGTATAAAAATATTTTCATAAAATAAAATATAATTTTATACACAATCCCCATATAGTCTCACTTTACACCTGCTGAATAAAATAAAGGTGACCTTTCCCACTGTCTGATTCTGTGGAGTGTTTTGAGTGCTCAAAAATGGGTAAATACCCTTTGTATGTATGTAGATATTTTCAAGCAAAATACACAGCACAAGAATTATTAGGAAGAAAGCTTTTCTCCTAAGAACCAATGAAATACAACAATCTAGGTATAAATCTGCATAGCTCAAAAAATTCAAGTACAGTATTTCTCCTTTAGAAGGAATAAAATTGCCATACAGTTTTGGATACTTTCCTCTTTTCTGGCCATTCCTTATAAGCTGTTAGTTTGGCCGTGACAAAAGAAAACTTTGATGTTTTTCAACTAAAGAAAAGTACTGTTTCTGACAGCAGAAAAGATTCAAAGCCCACCATATTAAACCTGAATCAAGTTACTCCTAGCCACATTCTCTTTATTCCTTTAAGGTACTATGGTGAACTTCAAATAAAAACGTTCAATTTCTCAAAGGCTCTATTTTAAAATATGCTTATAATATGCAACTCTATCATATAAAATGAAAATCCACCCATGGTTATGATTCAGAGAACATGTCTATGATCTATTATGCCAAAAGGCAACTTAAACAAATTATATCCTTAGTAATAAAGTCATGATAAGAGACACCAGTATTAAAAAAAATGCTTGCCATAAATGTAGAATACTTATTTATAACATAAGGTATGTCCATGGCAGGGAGTGAGAAAGGTGTACAGATTTGGAGAATACTGGAATTCATTAATAAAATAATTATAATTAATGCTAATTCAGTTTGAAATACTTTTCTGAAAGATGAAAGTGTTAAATATTTGGAAAGTTTAATCTTTTGGCCTTGTTATTTAGCTTCTCAATACAACAAAAATTGAAAAATTCTGTAGCACCTGGCTATTCTTCAAAAAAAAAAATCACAGTTATAAACTTTTTCCAGAAAATAAATTATCCAAAACCCCAAATCAAAGTAGATCTGCACACCTGAGCTCAGTTCTCTAGAGTTGCATGCTTCATCGACTTCATTACCGTACTTTTTGAAGCTAACTTTGTACCACATTCAAATGACCTTTATCAACAAGCAGCAGCAAATGGCCAACAAACCAGCAGCCCGCAAAGACGGTGGCTCCCATGGTAGCTCTTTGCTTATTTCATGGCGTCAGTACTTTCCAGATACTGAGGAATAGAACAGAATTCCAAAACAGATTTTTCTTTCCCCATTTGAATTATCTTCAAAGTAGAAAAATTACCCATTGTTTTTGTAGATGGTTGGCATAGAGGTAAATGTAATTTGGTTATAAGTAACTACCTACTGCCCAAAGATGTTTCAGAAAAGACAGATGAAAAATACAGATGGGCCCTGAGCAAACTAGAACTCCTAGGAGTGCAAACAACTCAGCAGCGATCCTGGCTTCACCTTGGCTTTTGCAAAAGCAGCAGAGCCCAAGTTAACAAGCTCTCCAAATGGGTGACAAAGTGAGGTGCAAGTGTGCATGCTACAGCCAAGCCGTCAGAGTTTTAAGGTTCTTTTCCATCCACTGGATATTCAACTGAATGACTTCCAAAGCCTCTTGGACACAACGAAGTCGAAAGGTTGCCTCCGACTGATTTTCAAAGAATGCCTGGACCTGTAAATTGCACATAGAAGTATTTCAAAAGAAGAAAAGAATGGTGTTATCTCAGGTAACTATGAATATCCTTTTCAAATAAGCTTTAACTTAATGATGGCTGTGCTGATGTCTTAAGAGAAGCAGAGACAAAAAATATTTTAATATTTGAGGTATTTATATCAAATTCCTGATCAAGCATGGTGAAATCTGCATTAATTTTAAAAATGAATTCTTCTACTCCCACAAGGATGAATATTTCAAATTTAAAACAAAAACAAAAACAAAAAACTGGCCAAGTAACAATAAGTAAGGTAAAGTCTAAAGATAGGTAGGCTTGGTGCATAATTTTACCCTTGGAATGGAATTCTTCAAAATCAATTTTATTACCACTTAAAAAGAAATCTGGCCTATCTTGATCTTAATTCAAAAAATTATTTGTATCAGTGAGACAAAGGAATATTGTGAGAATGGAATCAGAATTTTCTCTCACTGCTGTAGAAATAACCCCAGTGCAGAATCATTAGCACTGATGAAGGCAGACGGAGAGAAGGGACAGGAATTGGCAGGAGAAGCCACCATCTGACTTAAACTGAGCAGCCTGAGGGGAGAACGTTACCCAGGCTCCCAACTAGCATTTCATACAACCAACCTCAGATAAATGTGCCTTTGTTGAAAACAGGTGAGTTGATCCAGCAACAATACTTTGTATGGTATAGGACCCCAGATGGAACCTGAAGAAACACAAATACAAGAGCAAAAGGCAAAAATAATGAGTCAGCTGCTGGTAAGCAAAAATGCATCTAAGGCAGAGAGAATGGCGGCTCCCAACATCAAGAACCATCCTAAACACACTGACTGCCAGTGGGAAGGAAGGAGGGCAGAAAAAGGCAGGAGTTAGGGAGATCCAGGTACATTATTAGTCCATACGTCTACTCAAAAGCCACATCACTCACCCAGAAAAAAACCTACATGTGAGTTCTTAACCTCTCTCTTGGCAACAAGGAAGTATTTTTCAACATACGTAACCAGACAGCTACTGTGAAACAGCCCATGGCCAGGCTAAGCCAAGCACACGGGTGTCAAGCAAGGTTGAGCTTGATGACTGCTCAAACAGAACACCACTGTTAAATGACTCGCATTATGGGATTTTTTTTTTTTTAACAAATGTGAGTAGTTCTGGGTGTTTTAGTTAAACTGTCACTGAAGCATTTTTCCTCTCACAGCAAAATGTTAACTCTTGTGAACCAATACAGCACTGGGAACCTTTTTCAAATGCAGAGCCTGAGAACGCTAAGTTTGTAATTCTTTGAGAAACTTACCTCTGTACAAGCTTATTCCAGTTCTCTTTGACAAAATCCCATGCCAGTAAGTGTCCAGGAAAACGTCGGCCCACTGTTCTGATGATAAATGACAGCTTTTGTGTTCGGATGGTGTCTCCACTGAGGCTGTCCTTCATTAACCTGAAGGGCAAAGCAGATTTAGCTTCCAAAACAATTATTCGTGGTGAAGTGGTGACTGAACTCGTATTAGTACTAGTCTCCTAATTAAAGCTCTGTGGTGATTCAAGGGAAATATTTTGGGTTAGTCTAAGATTCATTAAAAATCTTTTTTTTTTAACTTCTCTTTTTTTTTTTTAAAAGAAGGAAAAGCTCACCAATGAGATAAGCACTTACATACACGGTCATATAAAAATAAATAGTTCTTGATGTTTAGTAAGGACTTCAGGAAATAAGTTCTAGTATGATTTATTGTAATTCTGCAGACTGGTATTTTTTTTTTCGTTAAAAACTTTCCCTGAATAGGTAGGTATCTTATTACTCTTAAAAAACTAGGCTGTTTGAATGACTTGAAAATGAAGATACATTTCAGAATATACTCTTAACATTAATAGTTAAATTTATTGATACTTCATGTGTACTAGATAATGTTCTACATTCTTGAACAAAAATGCTTAAAATAGGTCATTACTACCTATCCTCATTCTATAGTTTAAGAAGATGAGGTTACGTAATTGCTCCAGTTAACACAGCTAATAAAAACTAAAGCCCAGCATATGAACATAAGCAATTCTCATCTACTAAATATCTGCGTATAGTGAGAAAACACACACCCCTAAAAGAATGCAGTGGTAATTTTAAAACGGGAAAACCCCCAAATGCTCATCAAGACATGTATGAGAGAGCAAGGCTATGCAATACTAAGCAGCTACAAAAACTAATGAAGTAGGCTCTGTGAACTACACAGCAAACCTCAAAGGCTTATCACTCACTAAAAGGAACACACAAAACACTGGGTGTAGTATAAACCGATGTTTCCATATGTAAATGCACAGCCCAGGACCGACACTACTAACAGGAGAGAGGACGAGAACAGAAGTGAAGGATCAAATGAGAGACACTTTCACATCTTGTTCCATTTTCTTAGGTACTGTTTAAGTAATTTATAGTGGGAATTTATCAGTGTCTTACTAGCTTAAAATAAAATTATTACTACTTAAAAAACAAAAAATTTCCCTATTTGCTTGGGTTAGAGGCTGGCTACTACTTCGAAGAAAATGACTATTTGCAGTGTCCCCTTTGGGAAGTGGGTCTGGGCAGGTGCTGAAGATGTCTCTCGGACACTGTCATGATTTACCTGAGCAAAATTATACCAGAGAAGCAACGAGACCCAAGTGCCTCCCTTTCACCCTTCCTAGTGTTGACTTTCAAGATACTTCATATTTCCCTTGGCTACTCAGAGTTCCTGACCCTGCCATGACTGTTCCTCCTGTCAGAAGGCCCTACTCACTGCCCTTCCCTCCCGCATGCGAAGCTCCCATCTCCAGGTCTTCATCAGTTGAGTATGAAAAAGGAAAAGTTTGCCAAATTCACAACAAGGTGTAACCAAAAGCTTTTACATGGTTCCTTTTTCTGAAGTGTCTGCGTTTTCAAAATGACAGCTGGGACAGAACAATGCCTTGACCAAAAAGAATGAAGCACTAATTGTGGAATTAAAGATAATGCACCAACAACATGAAGGTGTTTTTAGTGTGATGCTTGGCATCTCCCAATCTCTCCTGGGCAAAGCGCTCTCTGCCTACGGTTCAGGTACAATCCCTGAGATGAAGCCCAGCACCTGTGGGCTCCTCACCACACTGTCCAAGTCAGATCTGGCCTGCGAGCCAAGGGAGGAAAAGGGAGACTTCCCACCCAAGGAGCACTAGGCTTTGTGTGTTTGTTTCTATATATCATATTCCTTTGGTGGTTTCATACCAGTAAAGTTTCCGCACATCGTCTGAGCTGGCAAGAGCTTCAAGTATTTTATTCTTCTCTGCTTCAGAGCCTACAGAGACATACTTGCTTAAGAGGAATGTCCAGCCGCTCTCAGTTTTTGCTCCAACCTTGAACACAGTTGTCATGACATCAGTAGGAAGACTGTAAGAGAGGTGGTCAAATGTGAGAAGAAAAAAAAAATCCTGAATGCAAAGGCAAGGAATTGACTAGTGAAAGTGTTTTGGGGGACAGAGCAGGTAATAATAAGTCTTTACAAGTAATAGTCAAGAAAATGGTTAATTCAGTGGCTGCTACTTTCCTAGTGGTGTGACTATAAAGAATATCAATTCAATATAATATAATAATTATCACTGAGCACCCCACAAAGAGCCCGGTGGACAACTGGCTGGACATTGTTGAGGGGAAGGAGAATGAGACACAGTCTCTGCTCTCTGGGAACTCACAGGCTATCACCGAGTGCAGGACAATAAATACATCGTAACACAGTGCGGTGAGCTCCCTGGTAGAAATACAGCAGCAAATGTAGCAGGGTGGAGTGAGAAGCGGGGAAGAAGCACAGTTTTCTGCCTTTATTAAGATCTTGGGGCTAGAAAGGGCTTCAACAGGTTATCCAAATACCCAACCCCGACTCTCCATCTGATGCTTGAATCTTCTTCCTTAATGCCCAATAAAGGACCTGGAGAGAGTCAATCATTGTCGAAAACATTTCTACTAACTGCCAACTCCACCTGCTATGTTTTACTCCTAAATGAAGAGAGACTTGCTTGACACCTCACACCCATTAGGATGGCTGCTATCAAAAACCCAGAGAATAAGCGTTGGTGAGGACATGGAAAAACTGGAACCCTTGTGCACTGTTGGTGGGAATGTAAAATAGAGCCACCACTATGGAAAACAGTACGGAGGTTCCTGTAAAATTATAAATAGAACTACCATCTGTTCTAGCAACACCACTTCTAGGTGTGTATGTAAAAGAATTGAAATCAGGGTCTCAAAGAGATATTCGTACACCCATGTTCATAGCAGCATTATTCCTAAGAGCCAGAAGGTGGAAGCAACCCAAATATCCATCAATGGATGAATGAATGAACAAAATACAGAATATACATACAATGGATTATTCAGCCTTAAAAAAGAAGGAAATTCTGACATATGTTACAACATGGACGACTCTTGAGGATATTATGGTTAACTGAAATAAACCAGTCACAAAAAGACGAATATTGTATGATTTCCCTTACGTGCGGTATTTGGAGCAGTAAAACTCATGACAAAGTAGAGTGGTGGTTGCCAGGCGCTGGGGCAAGGGCAAGATGGGGAGCTGTTGTTTGGCTAAAGGAAGTCAGTTTTGCAAGATGAAAAAGTTCTGGAGATTCACTGCACAACAGTATGAATATACTTACAGGACTGAACCATACACTTAAAAACTGTCAAGATAGTAAACTTTATATACATATATTTTATAATTAAAAGAAAAGTCTTATTTGAGGATCGATGCATAGAGCTCTCTGACATTAACACTCAGTTTGATAACATTTATGACCCAGGAGATAAAGATCCTGGTTTCAGTATATGATGTAAGGTACAGGAGAGAAGAGGGTTCATCTGAGTGGAAGCACATGTCACCTTCGGGTTCCATTGGATGCCAACCAATCGTTAAACAGCTTCATGGCAGTAGTGCTGCAGTTCTCCAGGCCGTGGGAGCAAGCAAAGTCTAGCAAGACTGACCGAAGCTCTCGAGCAGATGGGGTGCCCTCATCAGTCCAAGTTTGCTGCTGGACTTGGCTTTGAAGCAATTTAAACACCTTGGCCTAGAGAGACAAAATGGAATATAATAGAGTAACAAATAATTCGGACCAGAAAAATCAGGACAACTGATCTCTTTTCCCCAACATTTACTCAAAGAGAAAAACAGGTGGGGCATAGATGTTACTCATTAAATACCGACTGACATAGGGAGCCCACATACAGCTGGGATGAAACCATTCCATAACAGAGGCCAGAAATAGGCTCCTATAGCCACGGGGGCCTTTTAAAGACATAAGACAGAAAGAATTAATCTCTTCTCTGCGGTAGGGAACTTTCCTTCTGTGTGTACTCGGCTAGAAGTTATTTTCCTGCAAAAAGTATCACCTATAACCACTGCTGGAAGGAAGCTGGAACTTCCTGACCTCGTGACTTTAGAATCCACAAATCCATTAAGCAACCAGAGGAAAATATACTTCTTTACTGACAAGTAGATGTTTAAATGCTTCTGAATTCAATAAAGGAATATTTTTAAAAAATCAACTTGTTTGATGCTGTAATAAATTAATCAAGTTAGTAAGAAAATGAGACCTGCAGGGAAGAATAGTTGTTTACAGTAATTTTTCTCCTTACCCAACTTTTTATTTTAAGAAAATTTTACACCTACAGAATAGCTACAAGAATAGTACAATGAATACCCATATGCTAGATTCATCATTAATTTTTTTAACACTCTCACATTTACTTTGTTTTTATGTGTATATAACACAGAAACACACATTTGTTTTCCTAGTTTTAGCTGAACTATATGAAAGTAAGTTATAGATATTTCATTTATAAATACTTTAGCATGCAACTCCCAGTAATAAGGACATTTTTCGTATATAATCATAATATCACACAGTAGTATCATCTACTATTCAGCCCATTGTTACCATGATTTCTGAATGAGATGTCATTCTTAAATGCATACTTATGGTATTAAGAAACCAACAGATCTCTCGTTTCTTTCTCATCTCTTCCCACAGCAAAGCGTGGAAGCTGTTCATAGTATAGGGAACCACAGTTTCCAGACAGCAAGCTGTGGCGCAGGGGGAGGAGGACACATGGGATTAAAAGGAAATCATCATGTGAAGTGTACATTTACAAACGTCACCAAAAGGAACAAAAATTCTAATATAAAAATATTTCCAGGTAGTTTTTAGAAAAGCTTCCTGGCTATAAATAGCAGAATCAGAATGAAAACAATTCACGGCGCCGCCCCCCCCCCAAAGGGTTCTCCGCACAGGAGGATGTCTCCCCGCTGCTACCTCTCAACATTAACACCACTGCCACTGCCACTGCCACGTCTCATCTCAAGTGGCAAGTGCCACAGATGACCACACACAAAACCTCCTAGCCCCCCAGTTAGTTCAGGTTCTTCGCAGAGCACTACATTCTTCTGGATGCCACTGTCAGTACTTAACATGAATCCTAGTTGGAGAGTTTAGACTCATGAAGCCGTTTTCTCAGCAGACCTTCTCTGAGTAAGTCTCTTGTGGAGCGGACTAGAAGATGGAAAAAAGAATCTGTGCCAGGGGAAGGACTCGAAGTGTGTGATAACCTGCCAACTTGCTTTTTTTGCTTCAAAAGCAATGAAATAGAGAATAGACACCTTGTGGAATGTGTGAGTGACAAAGCTTGTGAGTCACTGGGAGGATGTGAAGTGGAAAAATACTTGCCATGCTGACTGACAGTGCAAGGAACAGAAAAGTAATGTCAGAGACCCTACTGGGTACACACGTCTGCACTGGCACATGCTGTCTTCCACTGGCCTGACCTTCTCAGTGGCATCATGATAGCAAACCATCCCCAATGACTGACGAAAAAAATAAATTTAAAAGCTACTCATAACTGTCAAATAAGGAAGAATGAAAGAAAAAAAAGTTCCATACTTGCAATATCATTAAAAAAAATTCAGTGGAGGAAGATGGCAATGATCCTTGAGAGTTGACTAAAACATAAAGACACTGGGGGGAAAATGGGACTTAAAAAGTACTGGAAGCAGAGGACACCTGACAGTTGAAGATGCTAAGGCCAATTCCTGAGCCGTTACTCCATCGGAATTACAGGGTGTAACTACTAGTTATTCCCTGTACCAAAGAGTCAAGCAGAAGTCCCAAAATAGTTGGCTTGAAATATATTTCAAATGGTAGCAAGAAAGAGTAAAAGATTGTATTTAAAAATACTATTTTTAGAAAATTTAGATTATAAAACATTTCTGTAAGTAATCCAGGTTATATCTTTGATAAATGACAGCAAGTTTCAAGTTATCTTTCCTTTTTAGGAATAAAATTAAACTCGTTTTTCCATGGTTTTACATGAGTTTTTTTTTTTTTTAGTTTACACTCATTAAACAATGGAATTCAATACTCTGATTTCATAACAGTAGGGACAGAGAATAAACTGATGAGCTGATAAACAAGCTGTGAACACTGGATAAGCAATGAGGTGCAACAACGATCACACAAAATGATTTAAAAAATAAAACAGACGGGGCAAGATGCTGGCACTTATGAATTACATATTGATTTACTGCTTTAATTTTACACTGATGTGCCCAGGGAGTTCTTTCTTGGGTCAACTGAGCTTCTTAAAAGTGAAGTGTCAGCTTTTATAGCAAAAGGTTTATCCCACCAATCCCATATATGTAAAAGAATGACAGACTTGTAAGTGATAAAACAGGAATATGTCTGAGATCAGACTTTAGCATCAGATGTGAACAATTTGACACAATTCAAAGTGCCTACAGACCCACGTCACAGCAGACATCACAAAACGTGATGTGCAGGTAGCACATGCAGCCCACATAACAAAATGACCTATAATAAATACACACAATGCTTGGGTGCTACTGACTTAAAAATTAATTAGACACCAGCCTTAATCACAAATACTATCTGAAGGTTGGATCTAAGGACTCGGAAAGGTCTGCCACTCCAAACTCCAACTAACCACCAGTCCCACAGACCCCACCATGAACTATGTTCTTAACAAACACATGCCTGCCCAGCAAACTGGAAATCATCGTGGGATGAAGATGCAGAATTAGCTGAGTTCACAGTAGGAAAATATTCAAAAGGTCTCACTCCTTGAATTGAATTTAGCATCTGTGTTCTCAGCACAGGGATACCTGAGGTAAGTATCAAGTGCTTCCTTTTGTTTTTTTTTTTTAAAGGGAGGTACTGGGGATTGAACCCAGGACCTTGGGCATGATAAGCACGTGCTCTACCACTGATCTATATTCCCATCCCCCAAGTGCTTCCTGACACTAGGCCCTCAACACAGTTACTGGAGAGAGGCAGGTAGAAGAGTGGCTTCTGTGATCATGAAATTTAACAGGACTTCAAACTGGTTTAATTTAAAAAATGCAGTTTAAAAAAGGAAAAAGAAAAAGACAGCAAGAAAGAAACAGCTTTGCTCTTTCCAATAAAATGGAATCCTTTGAAAGATGACACTGCTAGAACTAATTCATTTAAAATACAGCCACATAACACAAAGAGCAGGCTCTGGAGTGAAATGAATCTAAGTTTGAATCTCAGCTTTCTAATTTACTAGGTAAGTGGCTTTGGGAAAGTTATTCAATATCCTCAGCAATGCAGTGGGGGTAGAAACATCTATGTGGCATTATGTGAGGATTAAAACAGTCCCCAACACCAAGGCTCCTCTGGTGCTTTGCAGGGAGACATAACCACCAGCAGCATCGTCCATGAGACAGTTATCAGTGAGGACTCCTAAAGCAGAATATTCTCAACATAAACATACCTACCACTTTATAACTACCACCAGGAAATTATGGGGGAGGACTGCACTGCAAAAGGGCCCATTTCAAGCATTTATTACATAAAAGTAAACCTGGATTTGAATAGAGAAATTTTCTTTTCATGTGATCCCATTTTGACAGCAGTGTTGGAAGTCTGTATTTTGATGTTCAAACAAGACCATGTCATGCTAACCCTTTATCAACTCTTCATGGTAAGAAATGCCGTTTTGATTCAAAGTAGAAATTTCATAACAAGGGAAGTGAAGAAAATGGAGTTTAACTGGTTGCTTTTTCAGCCTGTTACCGCGGAGGGGAGCATGAATAACAACAGAAAAGGTGAGCAACAACAGGAACTTGGCAAAAGGCAGACTTACCACCAGTCTTGAGGCCAGATCCATGTGCCCCAGTTTCTCAAGGAGGTTATAGATTAGTTCCGTCTGGAACAGGGCTTCAGTGATGGGTGCAGTATAGGTCTCATTTCTAAGATAACCAATCAAGTCAAAAGCTCTCTGAAGAGGCACCTTGCCTAGGCTAAGGGGATGAAAGAACAGGAAAAGTAAATACGCCAGCACAGGCAGATGAACGGTACGCACGCTGAGAGAGAAACTTTATGGCTAGGTGGGGAGTCCTGAAGACATACAATTTAAGCTTTGAGTGGCATTCTGTAAAGTTGGACTAAATATTATTTTCTCTGATTAAGCTTGTGTGTGTGACTGAAGGTTAAAGACACATATTAGGAGAAAGATAAACAATAGCTCAGTTTTTAATTCTGTAAGCCACCTGTAAATTGCTACTGACTCAGGAAAAATATTATAACATTTTAGGTGAAAAAAGATTAAGAGTGTTAATTTTATTTATTTATTATTAACTTATTATTTATCAGGTGAGAGTAGGTGACATAAAGAGGATTTGAATTAGAAAGAAATTTTTGCTATTTGTATGGGAATTTGTCAAACTTGTTAAGGCAAGGTCCACTGTGAATTTATGGTAGGGCACATCTAAAAAATTAGCCATTTTATAAAAATCACAACGATGATGGCAGAGATGATGTAAGGTCACTTCATAAAAAACAGGCCAAAATAGGAGGGCCAAGAGCAGTTAGAGGGAACACATCTGAATATTTCTTGTGTCTCCAGACCCATTAACAACCTAAGCCGGGAACCTTCCTATTCAGAGGATAGGATACCCATGCACGAGGTCACCGCCATTCTTGGCTTTGGGGCTGTGTAACACGCGGGGTGGCAGGGGAGGTACGTGGTACTCCAGCTCTCAGAGGTGTCCCTCAAACCCGTGGGTGAGCACCAAGCCTCATGCTTAAACTACCTGCTGCTTGAAAAGAATTCTCTCATGAAATAAAACAAAGCCTGAACTTCTACAACAATTCATTTAGCAAATACGTGTCCTGCTTGTTGGTATGTACAGTCCTGAAATATTATTTAAATCGTGTTATTTAACTGCTCAGTATGTTTGTAGCTGATGTTTCAACATAGATTTTAAAGCCCCTGAAGGCAAGGACTTTATCTTATATTTTCCCAGTCCTCCAAATGAACTATACCTAACGGGCAATACATGCAAGCTCTTCTGCACTGTTTTTCTAAAATGTTCTTTTCCTCAAGAACACTTGGTTCAAAACAAAACAAGACCCAAGTCGAGCATACTATACCCTGCAAGTTCAAAGATGTTATTGATGAGGCTGGCTCGGTCTCTGTCACTCAGGACATAAGGATTTATTTTCAGCTGTTTGATCAGTGCTTCCCAGTCGTCATCTGCATAGTGTACAATGTAATAGCCAGTCATGTCTGTATTGACCTTGACCCACTTCACTTCTTCTGTGAGATTGATGACACCTAACACAGACCAAAAAATCAAGAGAGAGAGAAGATAACAGGGCAAGAAAAATATTATGGATGCTTTGTTTCAAAGTTAATATGGTTATCATTTGTATATTTAATATTCTACTAATAAACTAAATGTCTGCCTCCCAGAGCAGTTATTTTCATGTTAACAAAGGTCACCACTCATTCACTAAACAATTATTTATTTAATGGTAAACAGGTAGATACGTGCCTTCTCTCATAGATCTTACAGTCTAATATAACCAGGCAAGTAGAATATAATAAAAATATTATCGATGGAAAAAGAAAGCATGGCATTCTGTGGAAGCACACAGTAGAAATGCTTCACCCCCTCGGGGAGGTTAGGAGAGGTTTCTTGGAAGAAATGACATCAAAGCTGAGACTTCAGGATACACAGGTATTGTTAGCCAAGTAAAGAGGGGCCCTGAGTGTTCAAGTCCTAGAGAGAAAGTGTCCACGGTGTCCGTGTGCTGGACTGGCTCCCAAAGTTACAGGGGTGGAGAAGAGAAGCAGGAAGGGAAGCGTGTGCAGGTGAGGCAGTGGGAGGACCAGATGAAACGTGTTCCATCCCAGCCTTTGTCTCTAGTTATGTTAGCCAAGGAAGGACAGACAAAGCCACTTTAAAAAGTCACATAATTCTAAAATAAACATTAGGGAAGGATTAAGGTCTCATTAAGCACAAATAAGAAATAATTGAGTTAAAATAATAGAAAACTGGCAATGTACTTTTTAGGCCCTTAACATTACATATATGAATACTGAGACAGTCATTAGTAATTTATATGGAATCATTTCAATTAATGTACAATTAATAAGAAGGTAAATAATATGTGACTACAAAACATATTGCTACAAAATCTGACTACAAAATATAGATGGAAATTTTAAAAATCTTTAAAATTAGTAATCAAGAAATGTCCTTTAAAGTTGACAACAAGGATGCGAATTTAAAATATTAGTTAAGGGCATGCTTCCAAGAATCTTAAGGTTTACTCTTTATTAGACCAGAAGCCCCATGAGATTTATTTGTCCACGTGAATCCCTCAGCACCTAGAACAATGTACTCAGGTACTCAGAAATTACTCAGTGAATTAATGAGTGAGCAAAATAATTAAGTCACAGTAAATGGTTTTAAACACATCTAAATAAGGTTTGTAGATGCTTGATAATAAATTTTCTTCCCCATTTTAAAGTAGAGAATACTAATTTTTTAAACTATAAGAGAAAGAGGAGTAGAGATAAGAAAAATAATCGAAACTCAGATAATAATAGCGTTATGGGGTATATCTCCTGACAAGATTTTTTCTATACACATATTAACTGATTTAATATTTAATACGGTAGATCTATATGCATTTATTTGTATACTGCTTTTTCACCCCATGAGATTTTTCCATTATCTTCAAATGCAGTGTTCAAATATCTTCGTAATATTCTATTTCAAGATCTACCACAGTTTAACCAATTTCCTATTGGAAGTATTTAGGATGTTTTATAATTGTCTCTATCATAACAATTACATATGAAAATTTTTGCACATAAAATGCTTTGCAAACACAATTGAACCCTTTATTTTTCTCTCCATTTTTTAAAAACCCTTTTAATACCCAAGGTCTTACGGTTGATCAACTTTAAGAGCATGAATTATTTAAATTTATCAGATTCTTTTAATACCTTAGTTACTCCAATTCTGCTGGAACTGTAAAAGACTTTTAAGATGGAAAGACTAACATTCTGATTATTTCTTAACAAGACATATCAGATAATCAGCCTTTTTCATTAAAATATTCCATATTAATTTATGTTTTTGCTGATATAGCAACAGATAGGAAAGATTAATTACATTAATAGGGTTTATTCCTTTTTCTAGAGTAGAATACAGTTCTAAGGAATATTTGTGATGACAACAGTAGCTGCTCCAAGTTGGAGATATTTTTAACACACCAATGACTAATGAAATTAACTTTGTTAGCTAATGCAAAAATATCAGCACTCTCCAGGTCACCAAACACAATTTCCTACAGAGCTTTTTATCAAGAAGGGACCTTGGGAAGAAGAACTAAAGAGCTCCAAACCTCCTTTTCCCCAAAAAGGAGGCAAAGAATAAGCATGGCCATTTTCCCACTGGATGGATGCAGGAAAATACTGAAATACAGAGTATCTTGGCTGATAAGCAACTTGCCATGTTGGAAACCTAGCCAAGTCCAGATGGTAGAGAGGAGGAACACAGCTGGAAGTGTACTTGAAATTATTACTGTCATTTTGATGACAGAATATAAAGCCCTGCAGCCAACAGCATAGAGAGGAGAGTTATCATTTAAAGAATCAACATATTCATCTCTTTCAGGTCTTCTGAATGATCCAGAATGGAGGACCTTAAAACCACAGATATCGAAAAAATATAATAGCTTTGCACACAAGGGAAGTAACTACATCCTGCAGCTCAAATGTGGATGAGGGCTACATTCATATGTTTTTAATTTATTGTAATCATTAAGAGATTAACAGTTCAATTTTCACCGTCCATTGAGTAGTGAAAAAGAGTGAGCAACTCCAATGTTAAATGGCAGAAGCCCAGATGAAGTAATCTAATAGCGATTTTAATAAACCATTTGTCAGTAAGTTACAAAAATCAGCTACTGTTTTATAAAGAAACATTAAAGTACAGAAACAAAAAAAAATACACTTTTACTACAAAGTTGCAAAATTTCCTGTATGGCTTGCTCCAGAGGGCTAGCATTATACATGCAGTTGAACTGCATTCCCTCCTGTTCAAAAGCATTCCTTTCTCCAGTACCCCTTTCTTCCCCTTTATTTTATTAGGGGCAAAGGCAAGAGCAGAGACTGGCACATGATACATATCCTATCCTAACTACATGCCCGCTCTTCTTTTTTTCAATTGCCTTCAGTTTCAATGACCTTTACTTTCAGAGAAATATTTCTGGCACAGTGATATATCCTTTCAGAAACATGAATCTTTCAAGTTAGATTTCATATAAAAATTTCCTACAGTGAAAGAGCTTAGGTCTGAGTAAAGTGTAGAAGAGAGAAAAGGAGAGGTGGGGAAAGCAAGGAAGAGAAAGGAGAGGGAGATACTTTTTTTAGTGTAATTTCCTCAATAGGTAGTTTAGAAAAATGGTCCCTCGATGCCTTCCTTATGCACAAAAACTATTAATCTCACAAAATCCATGTATATGGGGGAAAGTGACAAAAATACTGACAACATATAACTTCTATATTTGGTTGAACTAATGGACTAACCCAGCAACCCTAGCACTAGAACACATGGAAATGTACTATAGATTTAACAAACCACCAAGATAACACACTGCACTAAAGTCATATGGCATAAAATAAGCCTCTGTAGTCACCATCTGTGCTCCATTTCTTTGAAGAATAGAAGAACTTAAAATTCAATTAAACCAAGAGTGGTTCTCATGGGAGAGTTAAGAATCAAGAAGACCCAACTGTCCTCAGGGTCAGATACTTCTTGAGGGGACAGAACATTTTTCAGTGTGAACTTTCAAAACCTGAACTGCCAGGAGTTAAAACTGCAGCAGCAACAAGGTTAAATAACAGAGTTGGGAAGAGGAAGTAGCAGACTGCTTTCTTCATGTCTTGGCTCAGTTCCAGCTCTAGATTAAACCAGTCATTATAGTACATTCTGTATATTTCCCTTTACTAAGAATATTTTCCCCAAGTGAGGAGAAACAGAAGATATCATTTCATCAAGCTTTGAATGCTCTCTTCCTAGAACTTTTTACAGTGAGATTTGGAATTGAGTCACTTCACTATAGACTAGAATTTATTCATTCAATAAATTTTTGTGTGCCTGCTCGGTGCAAAGGGTGCAAAAGCGATTTGTGTAACCATGACCTCCTCCTTCAATGAGGGATACATCTAATGTGGGGGTAGGTATAAACGAAACAGTACTTACAGTTTATTAAAAGTAGAGAACATTACTAAAATACCATAAGGAGGGCATCTAACCTGCCTTGGGGTGAGGGAGGGCTTCCTGGAGCAAGCAATGGGTGAGTTGAGACCTGAAGAGAGAACAGGGAGATGGGAGGCAATAGTGTTCTCCCAGGAGAGAAAACAGCATATGCAAAGGCCCAGAGACAAGAGGCAGTGAGGCATGTTTGAGTTTCTGAAACAATTTTTGTGCAGTGGAAGTAAAGAATGTCAGCTAGGGGCTTAGCTTGACTTTGGGGTGTGAATCTCAAAAAGAGTTTAAGAAGCTCACATATAAAGTGAGCTAAAAAGTAAAGGGCAAATAAAAGTAATTTCTTATTGTCAGATTATTTCTAATACCAATCAAAACTTAAATACTATTGAGAGGCTTGCAAAATTTCCTTATTGGTCCCTTTCAAATAGGGAGATGGGATTATTTATTCTCTCTTAGGTCAGAGACCATCCTTCCAAGGACCCACTTAACATATGAAGTTTTGTTTTTATCAAAGGAGAGAGCACTTCTTTGCACCTCCAGCTATGCTATGTTAATCAAAGATATGATGACCTGTTCTTAGTGTTTGAAATTATGAAACAGTTGTTGTAACACTCCACTCTAGTTAGATTGAAATGCAACTGGTTTGTTCATACATTTCAATTGGTATTATAAACACACAACAGAAAGGCACCTTGGAAATATGTATTAAATCAGAAGAGGTAACACAGTCTTCATTTTTAAGAAGCATTCCTGTGAAAAAGTTCATATAATGAGAAAGCATTTAAGACCCCAAATTTTATTGAGGCATTTTTTTTAAATAGAAATGGTAAATCAAGTGTCCAACAATAAGGAATGATTAAGTCAATTACTGTACGTGTTAACGTTAAAAAAAAGCAAGATACAAAAATCAAATGCACATAATGATAACAACCAACTAAAAAAATTTTTTTTAAATAACTAGAAATAAATAATCATGAGAGTAGTTATGACAGAGTGATAAAATTTGTTCTCCATCTTCTAGATTTTATGTAATATGGATATATTATGTTTAAAAATCATTTTTTTCAGTAACATTAAGAACGATGACTAACACTTAAATAGCACATAACAGTAATTTTTCTAAGTGCTTCATATAAATGAATCAATTAATACTCATCATAACACTATAAAGTAAGTATAATTACTTTCTTTATTCTGTAGCTCAGGGAATGAGGCTCGAAGAGGTCACATAAGTCACCTAAAATCATACGAATGAACCAAGCCATCCGGCTCCAAAGTCTATTCCATTAACCACTAAGCTACACTCCTCTCTCAAAAATATAGGACTGAACACCAGATCCAAATTCAAACAAGAAATTTCCCCTTTCCATAAATCGAAAATATCACTAATGGTTCCTGCAGAACCCAAGAGTATCGTGTTCTTCAGGATGTATATTAAGAAGATACATAGTGTGGCTTTCAGTGGTATTTAACAAATGGTCAGAAATATTTCAAGTGTTTTTTATAGACTCCTAGTGGGTCAGCATATACAGTCTTTACATTTTATTGTCCTCAGCCCCTCCTCCCTGCAATCATAATTTCTTCCCTATTTTCTCATTATCAAAAAATGTATACTCTGTCTATAGGACATTTTGTAATAATTATTTACTACAAATCTAGATCATGAATCAACCTTAATCATGCCTAAGAATCATCTTGAGTGTTTATCAAAATGCAGTTGCCCCAGCCCCTCCCTAAAGAGTAGACAGCAGAGTATACTTCAAGAAACTGATCTGCTTTTACTGCTTCTTCCTTTGTAACATAAAATACTTATCTAGCATACAAACTATTTTCTACCAGGACTGCTAGCATATTCAGTGCAATTTTTTATACCTTATTTAAGAAAAGGTATAAGGACTAAGAAAGCCCAATTTTATGCATGGTATATAAAATCAATCTCACTTTAGTCGCATCTTGTACAGCTGTCTCACAGAACCAGCACAGAGTATGTGCACACTGGAAAATGAAATCTCCTTTCTGCTATTTGGTCAGATTTTTAGAAAATATGCTCTTTCTAATGTCTTATCAGAAAAGTGTTACTTAAAACCAAACCTGATTTCTTGTCCAGTAATGATATCGATCGATATTTTGAATAATTCCTTCCATCAGTGACATAGGACAGTGGAATATGCCACAGAGAGCTGTAAAAAAAATATTGGAAGATTATCACTCTTTCCAATATTTCAGTCAGTTACACACAATTTTTTTGTAGGGGGGTGGTGGCCAGGAAGGTGGAATTTTTCAAGCTATTCCCAGAAAGGGATAATCTTGTTAGGTTTCATAAGAACTTGATTTTAAAGCATTTAAAAATACTTTAAGGGTGCAAAAGAGCTAGCAGGGAGAGAAAGACGGCATGCACCTTGCATCTGAAGGCTGAATTTCAGGCTTCATATTTAAAGAGAACCTTTCTTGTTGTACAAGAAGTTCCTTTCCCTTTCTCTGAACAGTCACTAAAGGAAATCCTTTCTGCAGGGTCCAAGTTCTCATCATTTTCTTTACATCTAGTGTTTTGTTTGTGACCTAAAAAAGAATAAATCAGTTTTGCTTAGAGATAAATAGCTTAAAAACTCATTCTATGAAGAGTACATTTAATGGTAATATAAAACAGAAGCACAAATGCTAAGTTGAATTTACATTTCAACTCTAGGTAAATGAGCAACTGCTAAAAGGAAAGCAGTCTGGAATCGAGCCAGCTGATAACCAAGGAGAGCGAGAGAAGCACTATGTTAAAAAAGCAGCACATATGATAGCAAACAACTGAGTGTTCATTAAAATCCCTAAGAAGGTGTAAGCACTCCTTCCGATCACAATACTACCATTCAGAAGGTATGAATAATGACATACAGTCTAGAATCAGAAGCACTGCTACTCACTCCTGTGAGTCAGCCAGGTCCAGATTTCTCTGTATCTCCTAGGCCCTCTGTTTTCATAAATGTTAAAGTTTATCTTTTAAGAATCACACTGTGTGAGTGCCCAGGAGCAGCAGCAGCAGCAGCAGCAGCAGCAGCAGCAGCAGCAGAGGATGAAATATAAACAGGTTGGCTGCCTTGACTTTTGGTCTCTCTAGACAACAGCGGTGAACGTTTTTTGTGGTCACAAACCCCCATGAAATACAAGAGTTTATCTACAAAATCTAGAATCCAGTGTCAGAGGTTCACAGACTCTCTGAAGCTCACTGTCCCTAAGACACCTGGTATCAAAGATTAAGAAGCAATTTTTGAACTATTTCTTTAAAGGAGGTGAGTTAAACTTATGATTCAAATTATTTTTCTAGATTACATGTGGATCTGAATCACAAGCAACTCCAATCATCAAGCACTTAAAATGTTTGGTAATATCACTCCACTACGGTCGGCCTTACCTCAACTACCACATACCTATTTATTTAAGGCAGAAAAGGATGGAGCAAATCTTCCCAAATTCATTGTGATGTTAATCTTACATTTCTCATGGCTCTGACCTATTAGTTTCTGGACAACGCGTTGGGAAGAGAACAAGCCTGCCCCAAGGCAAGGCACTTTTTGGTCTTCGAAATAGAACTGAGATAAAGAGGCCAGTGCATAATCTGACATGGATGCTGAAAAACCTGAGGATAATGGGACTAGGCTGGGGCAGAAAAACAGTACGATACAAATCTTGAAGTCAGCGTGGAAGGCAGAAATACATCCTAAATGTCAGGAGGTAGATAATACAATGAGTAGGAAGTAAACAAGGTGGCTTCCAATGGAAATGCTACTGTACGATAACAGGATATGATGATTTGGAAGCAACCCTTAGGTAGTAAGGACTGATCCCTCTTCCCAAAGAGAACTTAGGGAGTAGGGAAGGTGCATCTTCTGGACAAAGGGTTAACAACTAGAAGATACCAAGTTTCAGACAAGGCAAGGAAGCAGAAAGAGCATGTGGAAAAGATTCAGAGCTGGGGTTCTTAACCCAGGTCCGTAAAACTTTGAAACTGTGTGTGATATTTACATATCTGTGGTTTTTCTGGGGAATGTGTCCAGAACTTTCATCAAATTTTCAAATATGCCTGTGATCTTCCAGATCATTAAGAACCATTGATCTACATCAGGGTAACAAATTCAAATGCTCACGAGGGTTATGCAGTCCGCATATGTGCACGACGCAGGGCTGAGATCGTGGGCAGCTACGAAGCGTAACTTGTAACTGATTACGCTGCTTGTTAGGACTTGTAGGCACAATAAAGTCCAAACAGCAAAAGGATCCAAGGACAGTACGCGGCCATGGCAGCCAGCCTGTGATGAATCATCTATTTTAGAGGAACCTGGCCACAAAAGACAGGAGAGTTCACAGGGCAGAGTACAGAGCAAAAAATCATGAATGGAAGGAGGAAAAACTGCAAAAACATAAGAATAGGAAAAGAGATTGTTGTGTAAAAAAAAAAAGCAAATAGCAAAAATATATTGATATATGATAATACAGAAAAGAGAACTTTGCTACAAGGTAGGAATGGAGATTAAGATACAGATTAAAGATGCTCACACAAGGCCACATGTAATTTTTTCAACAATTAAGACCAGCACTCCATTTCATGACTTTTAATTCTTTGCTCTATTCCTAAATATGCATATACTAAGCTCCATCCTCCTCTCTCTTAAATAACTATCCTTGGTACCACAGCTTATTTACAAACTTGATAAAAATATAAATAGAAGAATGCCTCTCTTCTTACTTTAAGAGCTAAAAAAAATATCCAGGTCACTTACCTCATTAAAACTATCCCACAGATCATCACTGTGAATGGATGCATAGCTATGATTATGCAGGTAAAGAATAATAGCATGTTGAAATATATCTTCACTCAGGTAAGTTTTCAGCATCAATAAGAGGGAAGCCCCCTATTCCAAAAAAAAAAAAAGTAAGAAAAGGGAGGAAAATAATAGGATACCATAGGTTTATAGAAATAAGAGTGAAAAACTCAAAATATAATCATTCTAAGCATATACTTTCGTAAACCAGGTATAATACACTGTTATTTTGTCTCATATAACAGTTGTGGACTATGTTCGAATTGTCTTCAGAATTATTTTAAAGAATTTGAAAAAGAATTAATGGAGTAAATCCCTATGGGCACTAATTCTGCAATGAGCCTTTTTGTGTGTTCTACCAGTTACTCACTGTTTCAGTGTTACTGTTAAAAAAAAAGTTAAGTGTTTATAAATATATTTTTAATTAAAAAAATGCCAAATTTTCTGTGACATTCCCATCCCTAGCCCCAGTGCTTAAAGTACCAGTCGAATTCAGGGGCACACTGGAGACAATAAATTAGCTAAGCTCTCGAAAGTCTCTTTGCTAGGGAGTACATTAGTTTCCAATTTTAGTATATCATATTGCTGAAGTAACCAAAAACCTCTCTTCTTCCTGTAGAGTCATTTCAAATATGTTTGGATCTAATGAGTGTATAGGGCAGTAAGCCTACACTAGTAATTCCGAGTCAGACATGCATAGATAACACTATATTCACTGAAGCATGTCATCACTCTCAGTCTTAAAACCACCACCACCTCCTCTGTGAAGCCTTCCCCGATTCGAGACAGAAATCATATTTCTCCATCTTCAAAAGTAATTATGTCACACTGCCTGCATCTGCCTTAGATACATATTTCCTCTTCTAGACTGTATGCTAGTTTAGGGAAAAACCGAAAAGCTCAACTCCTATGACTACAATAACGCATAGGTACATAGCAGGCCCTCAAATACTTCTTGAATGAATTTCATTTCTGATAAAAATGTAGCAATGTTAAGTCCTCAAGATTATCAGATACACATAACTCAACTTAGTACCTGTTACTCTGTTATTTCTGTATCACCCTTCACAGTGTTACTTGTTCTTTAAATGTATTCATTCTTGTTCCCAACAGTTCCCCTTGTCTCCTGCATCACTGACTTTCCGTCTCTACTCTAACATTCCATTAGCAAACAAAAACTATGTAACAGTCCTCATTTTAAACAAATAAAAGATGTCTTTTCTTAACCTTGTGTTATCACTCCTTCAGTTATCACTTTATCTTTTACTCCTCCTTTGTAGTAAATGCCTCAAAAAAGTTGTCTGCATCTGCCATCTCCATTTGCTCTTTTTCCATTTTATCTTCAGCCATCTTCCAACTGTCATTCCACTGGAAGTGGTTTTTATCAAGGTCACTGGTGCAGTTCATGGTGTCAAATCAATGCCAATTCTCAGGCTCACCTTTATCAACCTACTCATAGCATTTGATATGATTGATCATCCACTCTTCCTTGAAAGTCTTTCTGCACTTGGCCTTGGCACATCACTCTTGATTCTTGCCCTATTCACTGGCCATCCCTCTCTCTATCTTTTGCTGGATCCTCCTTATCTTCCTAAGGACTAAATTTTGCTGTCCCTGGCATTTAATCTTCAGATGTCTTTTCTTCTCTAAATTTATTTCCTACTTGATTTCCTTAACCCCAGGGGTTTTAAATGACTCCCAAATTTATGTATCTAATCAGACTTCCCCTCAATTCCAGACTCATATCCAACTACATGCCTAGTAGCTCCTCTTGTGCATCTCAAACCTACTCAAAGATTGAACTCTATTTTCTTCTTTCCCCAAATCCACTCATCCAATAATCTTCTCACTTCAACAAATAACAACTCCATTTTTTCAGCTGTTCAGACAAAAATCTTGAAGTCATCCTTTATCCCTCTCTTAGTTCCACATCTAATCCATTAGCAAATTCTACTGGACTAACCTTTATAATACATATCAAATCCAACTTTAGCTCATCACTTTCACCCTTGAACATGCCACCATTATCTTGCCACTGGTTTACTACAACAACCTCCTAACTAGTCATCTTGACTCCATGTGATGTTAAAGGCTAAGTGATCTTTAAAAAAAAAAAGTCATACTATGGTACTTCCCTTGTCGAATGACTTTTCATTCCACATAGTATAAAATTAAGGATCTTCCCATGTCTTACTAGACGCTACAATGACCTGGCCCCTATTTTCCCTCTGGCTTCATTTACTGCTTTCCTTTCTGTTTATTCCACTCCAGATACATTATTGGCTCCTTGCTGGCGCTTGAACATGGCATGCGACCTCTCATCTCAAGCTGTGTGGGGATCCCCAAGACAAGTCCCAGGTATGATGACATGTTAGAAGAACTCACAGGACTCGGTGTATAGTCATGCTCACCACCACGATTTATTAGTGTGAAAGGATACAAAGCTAAATCAGCTAAGGGAAAAGGTTCCTGGGATGACCAAGTACAAGCTTCCTAGCGTCCTCTGCAGAGGAGTCAGACAGGACATGCTTAATTCCCCCAGCAACAAGCTGCGACAACACATATGAAACGATGCCTACCACAGAGGTTCCTTAAAGACTCAGTACCCAGGGTTGCTATCGGGGGGTTAGTCACAGAAGTATCCTAGCCAGCACCAAAATTCCAGACTCCCAGAAGGAAAACAGATATATAGCACAAGCCACATTGTACAGTTTAGGCACACTGAGTCATTCTTATCAGGGAACAGTGGGGACTCTCCTGAAACCCAAGTTCGCTGATACCAGCCAAGGGCCAGTCCTGCAATCAGGCCTTTCTAAGGATGGCAGTCTCAGGCCTACCGTTTCTGCACACAAACCCTATATACTGGTTATTCCCTTTGCCTGGAACATTCTTCCCACATAAATCCACAAGCCTCATTCCCTCACATCCTCCAGATGATATTCAAGTATCTCTTTATCGGTGGTCTTCCCCAACCATCTCATATAAAACACCATTTCCTCTGTCACTCTCATGTCCCTCACCATGCTTCATTTTCGTACCAGCGCTTACCACCCAGCATAGTACCTATTTCCTCATTCATCTGTATACTGACCCCCTGAAATGGAAGCTCCACAGCAGAAGTGACAGTCCACCTCATTCCCTGATGTATCCCCAGCACCTAAGACAAAGCCAGGTGCGTGGATGGCACTTAATACAATCTCCTAAATGAATGGATTCTCACAAGGCAATCTGCATCAGAACTAGGCTTGAAGATTATGAAGACCAAATAGAATATGTCTGTCAAACACATTTCCCTGCTGACATTTACTGTTTCTTGCACACAATATAAATTATCCAGTGTCCCATTTTTCTCAATTATGTGGGATATGTGCCAGATTCCCAATTCTGAAAAAAGTAGTTATATTGACAGGGATTAAGTATGCTGTGGAGACCACGTGCTCAGAAGACACTGAATTCTGGGTTCAGAGGAAGAAGGAGTTCTGTAACAACAGATCCTGGAATAACTGTTCTGTATAAGAACAGAACCACAAGTTTTAAAATTTTCTCTATTGGCAGGTCCATTACAGGCTTTAAAAATCACCTCTAACTGGAATATATTTTATATAGCTAATTGAACTCCTAATTTCCCTATTTATTAACAGTACTACCATTCTCCCTGTCAGGCTAGAACCTGGAAAACATTTCTGCCTCCTTCTTCACGCCTTCCCCTGTCACTGAGTCCTTTAAGTACTTCCCTCCACCTAGTGTTATTTCATACGCATCACTTTCCTTCCACTCTCATTACCACTCCTAACTTTAAACTTTTACCATTGCTCACTTGGACTTCAGCAGCAATTTTCTGATTTTAGGTCTCTTTCCACTTAAATCCACTTTATAAACTGAAACAAATTAATTTTCCTAACCAGTAACTTTAATCAAGCCATTCCTCTGTTAAAAATCTTCAAAAGCTTCCCATTGATTACAAAAAAAAAAAAAAAAGTCCAGATTCCTGATGGCATTCAGGACCTTCTACAATTCAGCCCCAACCGACCTTTCTCATCTTTCCCCTTCACCACATGTGGCTTCCACTGCAAACATCTGCTCACCAAACAAAAATTCCCTGCCATTAGTATCCAACTTTTTCTTTGCAGACCTCATTGTGCCACTCCTGCCCATTCTACTGTCCCCATTCTTCTTTACCTCTACTCTTCCTATTATTTCATTCACCTCAATTTCCATTTTCTTCTGAAAAATTTCTCTTCATAGTCTCTGTACCATTCACTTAGCACATATTATCTCATTGCTTCATAAGTACTCACCACCTAAACTTTGAGTTTCTTGATGACATGGACTGTATGTCACATGTTTTACATATTTTCTTCTCTGTTCAGGACAGGAATTCAAGTTATTGATCTTAATCCGACAGCCAGAGTAAGGAGGCAAATAAGCCATCATATTGGGCCCTCCCTCCCAACACAGCGTGAGTGGCACTGACATCCTTGTTCTGTTCTCTGGCTCATGGTGATCCTGATCAGGTTTCTAGTTCTCTGTTCTGCTTCACCCCAAACCTGGAGTCTATTTTTACAATTCTACAATATAATCTTCAATTCTTAAAAATCTCGTTTGGTTACTTGTTTTGGCAATTCTGACTTTGGAACATACCTTAATCCTGAATAACACAGCCCAGGGTTTAGGACCTTCCCTGGACATATGCCATCTGTAGATCTGAACAGTGACCCAACTTTAAAACATACATTACTATAAGATCTGGCTAACTACCCAGAATACTGGTCAGAAAACTTCAACAAGAGGCAGAGAGAGAAAGAAAATCCCAGATAAAGTTAAGACCGAGATTTAAATAGAAGCAAACATCTTCCAGCTTAACAGGATACCTGACAATAATACTTATTTAATCTTTAAAGTAATCTAAATTAGACAGCTTGCTCACATGTGAAATTAACTTGTAACCTACTCCAGGTACTTTTTGTGCATAGCAGTACCTTAAAATAGGAAAGAGAATCAAACATTTCTTCAATCTGTTCTGAAGACTGAATAGATGATGATGATATTGGATGAGATGAATTCAAGGAATCTTTCTTCAGGGTTTTAAATCGAGCATCTAAGAAATCTTCATACTAGCAAAAAGTGAAACAGATTAAGAAACCATGAACAGTATTAAAGGCAGAGGCAAGTATGGTAATTATTTATATGAATTAGACTAACTACTACTTAAGGTCATTTAAAAAAATTAACTAGCTTCACTAAACTTCAGAACATAAGTTTCGAAAATGTAGGAAGAACGTGACATTAATGCATATTTCTTAAATTTAAAAATAAAATTGTAATCTCCTGGCCCCATCAATACGTATTTCCTAAACAACAGCATAAGGATGAATTAAGAATCTATTTATTACTAAAGTAACCAAACACTAAATCCAGATATTCAAAATGAATATGTGAAAACTGTTAGTATACACTTGTAAAACAAAAAGCTGAAATTGAAAAAAATAGGAACTGTTTCTTAAGCTGATTTCTCACACATAACCCAGCTTTTCTATTAAAATAAGATGCATTAGCTGAGGTCCACGTGAAGTAAAACGTGACTCTCACACAGAAAGAAGCCTTTGAGAGAATAGCAGAAGCTCCCCTAGAATATATATGAGAAGTTTTTAAACATGCTGGGCACCACCAAGTGGTGAAACTGTATATCTCATTGCTTAATTGAGTAGCATACACATACAGATTTAGAGTACCTTGCTTAGCATTCTAGCCAAAAATGAGTTCCTTTCACCATGTGAAATTTTTGAACAGATCCTAGACAAAAATTTCAAATTGAAAGCTTTAAGAGTACTCCTTTTTTGAAGCAGTATTGTATCACGTGTCCAGGAAGTTTGATAGAAAGTCACAGAATTTTCGGGTTGCAAGGGATCTTTATCCTTTTCCTCCTATTGCATGAATTATTTGGCAATATCTGTCGTATCATGACCTAGTGTGTCCAAATAACTCTAAGGATAAGGAATATCTCCAGAGAGTCTAATAACATAGGAACAACATAATTATGCTCTCTATAACAGAATGGTGCTCCATGTCTTTGAAAGGGGCACAAAACATGGTTTGTACTTAAAAAAGGGCAAATTATTTGTATCAACTTATGTATCACTGTTCTAAGAATAATCACAGTGATAACATAAACAATATTGCAACAAAACACGACCATTTTTTCTCTCCTTATACATAGGATAAAAACTTTTGTTTTGCAAAAAAGGCTTTTTAACTTTATCTAAATTCCTTCAAGCATAAGGACCATATCTAGAAATATAAAATGTAGCAAAGCGATTTCAAATGTTCATCTTAGTGACAAAGTGTAAAATAAGATCATATAATTTCAGCTTTCTAAACTGTATCGGTAAATAAAAGAATAATTTTCATTGTCAAATCTCAAGAGGTATAGAGATCAGTAACAAGGGTCAATTTTATTTTATCTTTCTAGAAACATTTGCATTGCTCCAGACGCATGGAAAATACATGGCAAATGTGATGACTATATTCCCCCCCAGGATTCACTGTAGGCCTAACAGTGTACTTACACTGGAGAGCTCTTCAAATATTTTTTCCAAAGAGAAATACTCCATGAAAGTAGCAAAACCTTCATTTAGCCACACATCATTCCACCACTGCATTGTTACCAGATTACCAAACCACTGCGGGAAGAAACAGACTACTAACCAACTTTACATTCTCAAGAATTTTCTAATAATTGAATTGCCAGATTAACCACTTGTAACCAGATTACAATTACTTAAAAATACACTTATTATAGTTAAGACAAACTATATTCTAATTAAAAACTTACAAATAAATTGTATTTGTAATCTAAATTTACTTTAAAACTAAAATTAAAAATTTAACATTTACCTTAAATAGGAAAACAAGAAAGACAGACAATTAGCATATTTATCAATTTAACACACATGCTATATTACTCAGTAAACATAAACAGTTTTTTAGCCACATCATTAAAAGTGTGATTTCCTAGATAATGAAATTCTTCTACTTTCTAGTAACAAGTTAGTATGATTATTTTCTATTTTATCTACAACCATCATGACAACTAAAAACTAAATGTCTATGTAAGGGACATTCTTATATTCAGAGAGCCTGTACTGCATGTTCCCCTGTTTCCCAAGCTGAGGACAGTATTTACATGATTCAGAACAGAATTAGAACAACATTCCTTAAGAAACTTGGCATGCATATAAACAAATGAAATCAGAAAGATCTTCAAATGACTTCTTCTGTGAGGCAGTAAGAAGAAGGAAAAAATGATAGGACACTCAACTAAAAAATGTTATCTCAAGGTCTCTGAAATAAAGAGTGGTATTAGGGTATGCAATTCAGTCAGTGTGGCCTGGGGCTTGTCTCAAACCATCAGCAATGTGATAGGGTTACTAGGTACTGAAACAAAACACTTTTGAGAAATGCAGTAGCATATTTTTCAAAGATATTATCTTAAAACTTGTTTCAGGGGAAGATGACTTGTAAGTCCAAAAGAAGAAGTAAGAGAGAAATACTCCCCAAGCGATGATGGATGGCCCAGAAATAAGAGACCTGGAGATCTCCTTAAAAAAAAAACAAAAAAAACCTGCTTCTCTATATACCCGCAAATACAACAGCAAATGAGCACGTGTTCATCCACCGGCTTATCGTGAAGGCTCCACGCAGGCTGCAGAGCCCATCTACTGGCTGTGTCTGAGGCAGGGAGCAAGCTGACCTGACCACGTCCTACTCTTCCTCCATAGCCTCCCACCTTCACAACACCCCCAAAGCACACCCAACACCAATGAGCACCTCATCAAGGGTACACGAGAGACGAGGTGTGGGGAAGGAAGAGGGAGCTTCACGTACCCACATAATTTCCTTTTCCCCATGTTATACAAAGAGTACCCTTCCTCTCCCAAATTAATAAAGAACCCAGTTCTAGCAGGAGACAAACTACAGTCCAAGAGTTGTGAGAAGACAGTGAATTCAGAGAAAAGATTTCTTCCCTACAAAGTAATACTGGGCGACTGGCATGTGTGAGAGGCAAGACAGCTGTGTATCATTAGCAGAAAAAGAGAGAAGTCTTGAGGAGGCTGGTTCTTCAAGGCTCAGCGCTGCGGCTTACTAGCTGTGTAACTTTGAGCAAGTCATTTATTTAAGCTGAGTCTCAGTTTCTACATCAGTAAAATGGGATTATCACCCACCTTAGAGCAGTTATGAAAAATAAGTGAGATAATGGATGTGAAAATGCTTTATAAATTGTAAAATTCTATACAAACATTAGATAGCATTTTTATCCAAAATTAAGTTTATGTTAAAAAAGCATCATTTTATTACAAAAGAAGGCAATACTATAATAAAAAGTTGAATTATTAGCATCTAAATGTATTCTAAAACTCTATGATATGAAACAGACCACAGCTATGAGATACAACAGCCTTGGTTGCTGATACCTGATGGGCCAGCTCATGAGCGATGATTTTAGTAATCAGTTTTCCGTCCACCACTGAAGAAGTACTATTATCATACAGAAGTGTCTCTTCTCGGAAGGTGAGCAAACCCCAATTTTCCATTGCTCCTGCTTCAAAGTCAGGAATAGCCACCAAATCTGGACATAACAGGAAAGAAGTGATCAACTTTCCCTTGTCTAAGGCATTCCCTAGTTAAATGAAAGTATTTTACCCATTGGCCTATCACTGTGAATCAGAAGGCAATGAGTTCACTTCACACGCATAAGGAAGAGGAACCTTCCAAGCCTTGCATGCTCCTCACCTACTGGTCAGGTGAGAAAGGCCTGATCAACCCCCTGAAGAGTCACCCATGCTCTGCCCCTTCGCAGAAGAAGAGACACCTAACTCCGTCACAATGAGTCACTTCCCAGAGCAAGGAGGAGGAAACGCAGGGCCAGCGCTCTTCTATCTAGAACCAGCCCCACACTGAACAGCACAGAGATGTTCTTGATTTCCTGAGCTCCCATTACTCTTGTCACTATTTGAATTAGGAATTTCTTAGGAAATTTGAATTAGTCAACTTCAGACTGAGTCCTAAGCAAATTTCCACTCACACAGCACCTTTGAAATAGCCCCTTATAAACCTCTACACATTCGGATACATTCATGGTATCTAAATTATCTTAACAAACTCAAACAATTTTTAAAACATTAACAGTGGTTCTTCATTTTCTTTTAAAATAACTTCGGCAAAAGTTGTAACAAAACATTTGCAAAATGAACCTAGGTTATAATGGTAAGAAAAATCAGAGGCACTGTTTGATTCTTACCCAATTTCTTTAGTGGGTACTGGATTTCAAAGTAGTTTTGATAAAACTCAAGAAGCTTCACAGTTGTTTCCAAGGCATGGTGAACTTGACCAATCTTCTCTGGGACAGCATATATAGAAACCTAAAAGGAAACATGGATGATGCAAGGACAGGTACAATTAAAATGGCATGATATTCAGGTGAACACTGTTAAGAACACTATCTGAGAACTGCAGAGAGGTAGATGAGAGTTTTTAGAACAAAAACACTTCCTTATAAGTTCTTTTAGCCCCTGTAGGGTTTAGCTAGTCATTTCCATACATACAACAATGTTCAAAAAACTTACTGATACCCTTTTCTTAAAGTTAATATAATGTCCAAAATAAACTATTTTGAATCATACAGCAATTTATAAGCATTTGCCTGTTTAATTTTATGATACTCTTCTCTTCCTGTCTGTTACCTACAATTGCCCTTCCTGGCCTACGAACTATCAAACTGTGAATTACCTGAAGGACAAAACTAAATTTTCATAATTTTCATCTTTTTAGCACCTATCACAGTGCCTGGCATCAAGCAGACATTCAACACAGCTTAGAGGGAGTGAGTTCTAACATAAACACGAGACAGAAATGGCACATTTGTCAAAATTACCCTGGAAAAACCTATTTGAGACCAGTGCGTTCTCTGCCAGTTAAGTACGGCACAGCCAGCTTTCCTTCCAGCCTTGGAACTGCTTACTCTTTTTTTCCAGTTGTTGGTTTGTTTTTATGGACCATGTTGTGTCAAACATAATCATCCCCGGGAGAGTGAAACACTCAGTAAGTGGCACAGGGTATGAGAGGACTCACGCCCCACCGCCCATTCGCTCCAGGGCGCCTGCTCCACAGCAGACGCCATCACCCACGTTATTTAAGTTGTTATTCTTTCCCTCTCTTTCTGATTAAGCACGTAAGTCAAACACATATGATGTGACTAACTGTACATGTCTTATTAGGTATCAAAAAGCAAAATGTAAGCAATTATATTAAAAGCAATAGGTTTTAAAAAGCAATATTCATTGTTTTTCAATTGACTGGAAAAAGCAGCTCCCTGTACTCAACTCGGAAAAGTAGGACATGGACAAGACAGAGAAGATTAAAAAAAACTCAAACATCTCCACAGGTGGGAAATGGAGACCTACTGAATTATTCATCATTTGAAAAAAGTATATTGGAGAACTCTAACTCCAAATTAATTTTAGGCTCTTATTAAAGGACTGAACAATTGTCAACAATTTATAAAAGGTCAAACAGATTTCAGCCATGATTGTCCTTATGTGGGGCTTTCATCCGTAGGACACATGCATTAATCACAGAAGCATGGAGGCAATGTGGCATAAAAATTAAATGTAAAGAAAAATTTTAAAGTAAATAACGGAACTAAATGTACAAGCTCTGTAGAGTGCGAAGTTCAAATCTCTGCTAGGTGTGTGGTCTTGAACGGGTTAGTTAACCTGTCTCCTTAGCCATAAAATGGTGATGTAAGTAGCTCCTACCCTCACAGGGTTGCTGTGAGGATTCAATGAGCTAATACCTAACGGAACGTAGAACAGTGCCTGACACACAATCAATGTTCAGTAAACAGTAGCTATTATCATTAGTACAAATAGAATCAAAATGAGGTAAAACAGAGTACAAGTCAGAAATGAGGTAAAGTGTAAGTGAGTAGAGCATATGTGGAAACAGTTATGGGGAGAATGAAGTAAAGTTAGCCAATTAAAAATATGCTGCTTTTTAAAATAACTATGGAAGAAATTTAATCTCTCACATCACATGGCCAAGTGTACTCCACCAGCCCAGCACTTGAACACCTGCAGCCCTTGGTCCAGGGCTACGACCACAGCTTACTGGACTTGGTCCCCACCTGCCGAAGGAAGTACAGGCTCATCCCGCTGCCACGCACATGTCCTGCATCATCCCCCCTCCGAAGTCAGTGTCAGCAAGGGGGGATAAAAAAGTCTGACATATTCTTCTTAAATCTACCTACCATTAAAGATGACTATACCAAAACCACTTGGAATCTGAGCCAAGTCTTTAATATCCCTGCCTGTTCTTTCCAGACATACATATTTTATGTTCTAGTCAATGCAATCATCTAGAAGATGCTGTCCCAACCATCCATATACCCCAGATTCCTCCTCAAACACCCTTCTGCCACATACACACCATTTGGCTACTCCCATCACCATGTGTGAAAGCATCTTTCCTTAGAGGAAAAGTAAAGGGAGAAAAAAGAAGTTCACATGAAACTGAAATCTGACTAAAAGATTCACTTAGTCCACTGGAATACAATGATTAGGAAAAAGGTAGTTTGTTATTTTCTTTTTCCTTCTACTTCTCTTTGTTTTTTTCCCTTAAAAATGTGCTATGAATTCCCAATAGAGTTAAATCAGTTGGTCATTATAATTATTGTCATGCTTGTTTTAAGAGCAATCGAAGCAGTAATAAATCAACAAAGAGAGCAATCTAGCTCAACAGAGAAGTTTTGACCAGCACTCCACTTGGAGGGAGCACTCTGAACACTGTTAAAATGGAAGTCAACTGGCACTCAGGACTTAAGACTTGTATCAACTTAAAACTTTTCTTGTAAGATCTCTTGATAAGACCTGAGAGATTTCTAAAAGACACAAAAAGTGTCCATAAAGCCTCCCGGTCAGCTCTCAGAGAAAAGGGTTTTAGCTGAAGACTAGCAGACTTGTTAGGTTTAACTTACTCTTCTCCTTACTTAATAAATAGCAAAAACTAGATAAAAGCAAAAAGAGAACCAAACCTCATCCGCCCAAAAGAATAATAATACGGCTTGAAAGATTTACGAAGATAGAAAATACTGGAATCTTCCAACACTAAGTTTCCTGAAAAATGCCAGCTTTCCTAAACAAACTGAACACCCAACAAAGCTTAAATTCCTTAAAAAAAAAAAAACCCCACAACACCAGAATCAATTCTACCCAGAATTACTTACTAGATTATTAGATGAGACTTGGGACTTTAGGCAAATGAAATAAATAATGTATAATGTCCTGAGCTGGTGGAAAGATACTTGTGGAAGAAATGTTAGTGGAAATTTGGAAGTAAGTTTTGTTCTTGACTGAATATGGATAAATTGAAATTATAACTTCACATGGATAATACTGTTGAAGGTTCTGTTTGCATGTTAAACAGACAAGGTGTCTGCCTCTGGTTAACCAACACTGGAGTCTGAGTCTATGAATAAGACTTGGCTGTGGTAAAGACAGAATCAGGCAATGGCAAAAACAGAAATCTCAGCACAATCTGATAAAGCAGTGTATTTCAAAACTGGCAGAGAATTTTCTAGGTAGTTCTGGCATTCCTGAAGGAAGGAAGAGTTTTAAGGGACACTGAAGAATGGACAGATAGGATAAAATACATGTTTCTCTTTCTTTAGGCCTTTGACAGCATAGTCATCTTTATCTCTGAACAGGACACATTTAATAACCACAGTCAACTCTGACATTCTCAGTTGTTTGGTAAGACTGACATTAGTAAGTAAAGCCCTACTGCCTTATTCCTGAATCTTGAGAAATAGCCCTAATGTCAACTATTACAAAACAGAACTCATCCTAAAGATTACAACATTTTAGTGTAGCAAAAACCCTTTGTTAAGACTCCAAGCTTGAATTTCTGATCGCTATACCTACAGAAATTATTTATTTAGTGTATTATTTGGTGTAAGAAGCAATTCCGACTATCATTTACTGGCTATGTAGATCTTAGGTCAATTAACTTCTCTGACACACTGTTTCTTCATCAGCAATATGAGGCTAATGCCCCCAACTCAGTTAGTTTATAAAATAAAAAGACATTTGTAAATGAGAGCTGAAGACAACTGCCAGCACAGATGATACCTCCACGCATGGTAGATTCTTCCCCATTTCTCATAAAAGAGAAAATCAATAAGCAATTATTTATTTGTATAGCATTAATTTTTTCAAAACACATTCACTACTGGGTAGCATTAAAATGATAAAGATTATTCATATTTATAGTCAAGGGAGTTTATAATATATTTGCACATGGGAAAAAGAGAGGGCACTTTTCTCTGTGTGTGTATTACTCTCTGCCAGGTACTGCACATTTTACAGGAATTTTAAAAATCTAATTCTTGAGAGGGCAGGATAATACTGGCACTACAGTATTCGAGTTGTGGAAGGTGAGGCTGAGGGAGAATTACAGAGCAGTCTGCCAAGCGCACACAGCTGGCAAGCTGTATGGGAGGGATCTGAACCCAGGTAGATGCCAGAGGCCATGTTTTACCACACTGCTTCCTAATACATGGAAATAAAAAGCCAAAAAGTCACCTGAAACTATTCTCTCTCAATCTCTCCGTCAACCTCCCTCTCTTCAGTTGACCCTTGAACAATGAGGAGGCTGGGGCAACAACTCTGTGCAGTGAAAAACCTGAGTATAACTTATAGTCAGCCCTCCTCATCTAAGGACTCAACCAACCGTGGATCATGTAGTACTGTATTATTTACTATTGAAAAAAATATGAATATAAATAGACCTGTGCAGTTCAAATCTGTGTTGTTCGTGGGTCAGTTGTAGACAATATTTATATATATTTGAGCAATGAATAATTCAGCTTGGCTAGATGAAAGAATGCACACTGGAGCAATTGAAAATATAATCAAATTTATAAGAAGGCCCTGAATATCAGAATGATGAGTTTGAATGTAATCCTACAGCATTAAGAAGCAAACATAGCTGTTGAAAGAGAAAATGAGAGGGACGGAGGGAGAAACCGAGGGAGGAAGAAAGAGAAAGAAAGAAAACAGAGAGGGGTGGGAAGAGACAAAGGGAAGGACAGAATGAAAAGAAAAAGCCAAGACTGCACCCATTTTGGGACACAACAGAAAGTGCTGGGGGTTTTATATCAAAGACTGCGACAAGAAGAACTACAACAGAGATGTAACTGAAGTGTTATGAAAGACCAGAGAGGGAATTATTAATCCCAGCTGGGGGAAGAATGAAACACTTCAAGGAGAGGGTGATACTCAGCTGGGTCTTGAAGCAGCAACCTGACTCTTCTAGACTGAGCCTTTTAGGTTTTATCAAGGCTGCGACATCTGCATCAAGGGCT